AGTCCGGATAATCGAGGTCCGGATAATTGAGGTTCTACTGTATTTCCAATCACCCCCACGGGACATTGCCCTGAATTAAGCGAGGCACTATTAAGCGTGTCTTTCCGAAGAACACGATAAAAGGACTGGGAACTTATAAATATGAGTAGCATCTTCCCATTTCAAATCAGTCTTGTTCTCAGAGCCTTCGCTCTTTCTTGTCTCTGACCTATGAAACTACAGATTGTGGCAACGGCATGATGTTGCGCACGCGCAGAAGGTTTAGAGATGTCATTCTCGTAGGTCCCTAATGGCCACGGCCAGACCTCAGGGAACACAGTCAGTCACCGCGTTTTACAAAGTTCATACAACATCCAAAATGTCTACAGGTACCTTGAATGAAAACTTCATCAACTGGACTGACTTTACAAATATGCGATAAATCCCTCGCTTTCATGGTCATGTAACGTCCGTCATCAGACCTGCTAACCGCCTCTATGGCAACCACAACGTCAAACTTGGGACTCATTTGATGAGCTGCATCGTTGAATAAAAGTTTGTTAGCAGCAGTTTTAACCCCACCTGAGCCATGCGTCCGCTCTGGCGTGAACTCTACAACAGACACGTTATTCTCCAAGAAGGTTCGCACAAGTTCCTGCACAAATTCCACGTGGTAGTAACTTGCAATAAACGTCACTTCCTTTCCAAGAGCTTTTAGGGCTTTGCCCAACACGATTGCCCCGAGAGGTCCATCGGTTTCATCCGGGAACTCTTCATTGGTATTACAAGGGAAACCGAAATGTATACCCACGGATGACCCGTGAGACAACACAAGTGCCGCCTTCAGAAGTTCGTCAGGAATGTGAAGATTCGCAATACCTCTCTTCCCGATGTCTTCTTGAATCTCGGACTCTAGGTAACGAATTTTGGTCATGGCTTCTTCAGACAACAAAGAGGCAGCGAAAGGTGATTCCTTTATTGTCACTACTCGTGGCTTGGCATCAGTGTTAGCAAAGGGATGTTTGTCAAGGAAATCTTCGACTATTGCATCGCAGCCAACTAGTCGATCCGTATTGTCAGTAAAGGCTAGTGGCAACTCTGTA